AATAACTTAGAATGATTTCCTTGTAGTACCTCTCTATTCACCGGTATGAATATTCGCAACCAATGCGTCGCCACCATAGTAAATATAAGCCTTATAAGTAAGCATTAGACAGCTAATCCAATCCAAGCAGATTGCAAGGGACTTATTTATGAAAACAATGTACTTTCATCTCATAACCCAGCTAAAATATTGTACCTTTTGCTACCCTAGAGCAGGTGAATAAGCCTCACACTTTGCAACTTGAGCGTAAGCTCGCAGCTATCCTCGTACAGATTAGCACGGTTCCGTGGTCTAGTTGGTTATGGCATCTCGTTAACACCGAGAAGGTCCCCGGTTCGATCCCGGGCGGAACCACATTTTTCGTTGTTCTAGGTACTGAAGCACCGATATTACTTTTGTACTGCGGACAGAAGAGAACAACAGAGCGTGGGTAGGCGAGGTCCCTACCTAAATGACTTTATGCTCGGTCTTGGGATATACTAATATAAAGTAATAAAATAAAATAAAGTTTATGTACTAGCTGGCATACTTTGGCAATAAATAAATGCAATTTACTTAAGATGAAAAGGTTTTTATCTCTTTATTTACTCGTATTGTCTTCACAGCAGCTAAATTAATTACAAGTAATTACTTGTTCATTGTTCTTGGTAGAACAATATCATCTATTCTTTACCTTCATCCACCCACTCGTTCCCCGACGCGGGGAATTCTTATCGCTATCTAGCAAGTCTTTGCTGGGTTGATTCGTATCCACAAGCTCTTCTTCAACTTTCCATGCATCATCATCCAGAACTTCCCAGTCAGGGGCAGGCGCCTCGCTGAGCAGCTTCTTCTTGAGCTTGTCGGCCAATTTGATCGGACCGGGAAGCTTGAACGTCTTACTGAACTCGGTGCCCTCAGCTCCGCCGAGGTAGTAGAAAGTTGTGCCGTGGGAATATTGTCCCATGCGGCTGGCTTGGGCATCGGTATCATTCTTAGATGCGCTCGGATCCTTCTTGTTAGATGATAATGGATAGAGGTTTCCACCAACATTTTGGTGATTTGTGAGGAGCTCGTGTAAGTTGCGGCCCATATTGCAAATGTCCTCAAAGTGAGTCCTATCACCTATCGAAACACCTTGCGTACTGCAAGCCCAGGCGATGTTGTAGGCGAGCAAAGTCACACCTTCTATGAAATATGAGAAAGTTGCTGGATCTTCCTTGGCCAACAGCGCTGGAGGCTTGTCAATGAAAAGAGGTCTTGGACGTGAAACACGCTGGGACTCTGTGTCTCCGGAGTGAGAAGGATTCCCTACCCCTGCCTGAGTAGGAAATACTGGATCCCCAGATCTGTAAGAAGCAGAGAGATTGAAGATAGTTGGCCGTGGGTAGTCGCGATGAGGAAGAGTAATTGCCGCAGGAAGACGGATTGAAAGATAGTGTGATACGAGCATAAGGATATGACAAATGTGGCTGAGAGATGTTGAAATCATCTCTGGCGTTGATGCTGTAAAGGAGTTAGTATATAGTTGAAAGAGTCGTGGGAGAGCCTACAGTTCATTGTGGCCAAATCGACAACGGGAATTCCGCCAAGGTGATACTCATATTTGCCAGTAGAGCCTTCTTTAACACGCTCAAGTCCATATAGTCGGGCTGCCTCCATACAAAGAAAAGATCGTGTACGAGCCATATCGCCAGCGCTGCGAGACCACTTATACTTAAGTCTGCCAATGTCCGTTTCTATGTCTTTTTGCTGTTTTACTCTGCGCTCAACCAGGCCACCAGATACAGCTGCGATATCCGACTTGCGACGAGAAAGTGCAGCTTTCCGGGCCTGGATCTCCTCTCTGGCAGCTTTGATGTCATTTCTGAGCTTATCGGCAGCGGCCAAAATTTGTGTCGTTCTATCTTCAGCTGTTCGTTGTTGCGCCTGTAGTGATTCCTTGTGAAACTTGTTTGGGGTGCTCGTCTCCTCTAATAGTTCGTTTATTTCATTTTGGAGACTCTCGTTTTGCAGGAGAAGTTCCACATTGTTTATGCGACCATCAAGAAGGGAGTTCCTGGCGTCCACGGTACAGAGAAAAGGGAGACGCTCTGTGTCGTGAATGCGATGACAGATATCGCAGTCCATCCTGGCTTTGTATCTTTGCCACTTGCGTTAAGGCAGTTGTCGCTATCTGTTGATCTAAGAAGACCAAGGGAAGCACGTTCAGCCTTCCGGTAATAAAATAGGAAAGGCGGGGCGCATCTTTGTAAGCCCGAGATAAGTGATTGAAAGTGAAAGCCAGATGACTTGTAGGCTTTGAGGTTGAAGATGGGAGTCACGAGTCGAGCAATGATAGTGACGGTGCTGTGGCGCATGAACGTAAGCCACACAGGCAGCCAACTAAATGATGCAGGAACACCCACTTCAAGGCTTCAACTATTCTATATTTGATTTAAATAACTTCACCATTTAGGTACCGGGAATTAATTTTTAATTCACTGAACTGTGTCAACTTTGACAGAGAAATCACCACTCCGTGGAATACAAGATTCAAGACTCCTTACCGACGCCTCAAGACAGTTGATCAGGCTGCTCACTCGACAGTGCTGCACGTTCCTAACACACACCCCTGTTGCTTGGCCGACAACACCCCTGGCGATTCAACGCGAAATGCCCAACATGGATACAGCACTTCCACTACAAGAAGACGGCGAGAACCATTCCAATCAAGACGATATCAAACCTTCTGTCCCTGCTCCTGAGGAAACAAACATGAGTAACATCCAGAAACATCCGCACGCTAGTAGAAGGACACCCGAACCTCAAGTTGATCGACAAGCCAACAATTCTGATCCACCAGACACCCCTGGTGCTCTAGAACCGTTTGACTGGGATGAGTTTGAAGCGCGTTATGAGGCTGCTTTGCAAGAGGCAGATGAACGGGAGCGGGAGATTCTGAAGGAGGCAGATGCCCTATCAAAGGTGAGTTCTTTTGAGCAATGACATAGACTGATGAAACTAACGTCTGGCGAGTACTTCAAAATTTGGGCTGCGTCTGCGTCAGCGCACGATGATGAGCGGGCAGCGAAGCGCCTGCAAACACGGCGACGCTTTGTGAATCTCGCTGAAGACAAAATGGAACGGAAACAACAGCATTGTGAGCCCGACGTGCTTTTTGTCCCATCCTTTGACCAAATATTGACGCTTTGCAGATGATCAAGTTGTGAGAGCCTTCGAAAGTGCTCTAGCGCTTCTCAAGTCCCAGTGAGCTATCTATGGGCTCTGAGTTGGTGGGCGGAAGCTTTAACCAGCTCCATCATCAAACTTTTGGCCTGTCTTCTCACAACATACTTTGCTTGCCAAATATGCTAGCCAGGCTGCCAGGACATATTTATCTCTTTTCACACTGGACGAACTTGATGTTGGTGCATTGGCACGTGACATAATTTCAGCCTGGACGCGTCTTCCGCCAATCTCGCGAAATCGCAAATCATGCCTGATCTCGCTTTAAAGAAAAACCAAGACATGCCGCAATCAAATAATGGAAGTACAACGAATGCGCATGTAATACCCAACATTTCCCCCGTATGTTACCCAAATATGCGCAGTTTGATACTTTACTGACACTTCTAGGATGATCTTGTAGCTTTCCACGAATCCCATTTCTCGCACACAGCCGTCGCCGCCTTCGGATCTGAATTCATAGACTCGCCCCCCCAGGATCAAACTCAAGATGACGCCGTCGACGACACCTGGGAGGAGGAAGACGATAACCTGGGCTATTATCCGGATGGTGTGAAAAGGACTTTGACGGATGCGCAAATCGAAATATTTCGACATTCAGAACTCGAAACTCTGCGCAAAGAGAAAGAAAGAGCGAAACAGCTGGGCTCGAAAGAGACAGCGCCGTCGAGCGAGGCCATGGATTTGAGTGATGATACCCCTACTTCCACGCAAACTAAAAACATGTCTTCCTCATTACCCGCTTCCTTCCAGAGTAATAAGAAACGAAAGAAGAAGAAAGGCCTTCAGCGCCCTCGCCCCGAACCGAAACCAGACTTGCGCAAACGAACCTGGGACGTTGTGGACAAGGGCTTGGACTCGCTAGAATACGACTAAGCATGTTCCCTGCATGTAGAAGGGATACTGCTTTTGGAGTTTCGAACGTTACCCACTAAGAGATTTTGATTTGTAAGTTGATACTCCCTAAAGTGTGTTTGAACCTCGTTATGATGAAAACCCTTGTATCGTCATCCTTAGTCGGATCGGGGCTGGAGGTGGACGAAGTATTGGCTTCGGCTGATATTGACACCTCTGCAGCCCTGAAATGTCGAGCAATTAATCTTCTCTCTGAGAAATGAGGCTTTTTATTCGTATTCTTCCTAGCAAGCAGTTTGTTCATGTTGCTAACCCTGATCGTGGTGTAGCATACGGTCTGAATCAGGCCACTTTGACAAGTTTCACAACGCAGCTTGTTCGTATTGTATGTCTTTCGACGACCAATGGATAGATGAGGTAGGCGTTTTGACTCCAGTAGATGTCAAGCCACGTATTTTGTTCAAGGCCTATTCGTGACGCACATGTGTCTGTTTGGTACCAATATTGAATTCGTCTTGTTGTCGGGGTCTCAGAAGAAAGGGAAACAAGTATATTCTCGAACTACATACCTCTAGGAGATGTGTCTACATATTGTCTAGACCTACCCTAGGCTTAGCTTGTGCATAAGATAATTATAATTGTTTTGGTGATGACAAGATGTTCATAAAGTAACATTTATTAGTAGACTCAACCCTTTGGCCTTGGAGAGCCTAAGCCCTTCACTGTTTCTCCAACAGCCTCTAAATCTTTTTAGACTGTATGTAGGTTAGTAGTCCGTAGTCAATCAGAAGTGAATTGCCAGAAACAGCCAGGGCGCACCCATTCAATTCAGATACTGCACAAGCCACCATCTATTTGCCTTGTGATTGATTTGGAGGCTCGTGCCCATTCGACAGTCGATAAGCGCCACAGCGAATCACAGTCCAGCCCGCCCGCCAAAACAACGGGGCAAACCTGGGCTGGGCTGGGCTGGACCCGACCTGAAATGCCATCCCACCTTGATTTTGCAAACCAAGTCAAAGCAGGTCCAGCCTCTCCTCTTCAGCCTCTTAGACTAGAGACCTTGGGTTGGGCTCGATTAGACATATACGAGTATCTCGGCCTCAACCTCTCATCTTCAGCATCTCTATCGCTCCGACCGTCATCGACGTCCCGCGACACCATCTTCTTCTACCGCCATCCTGCGACGGTCTCGATCTCTGCCCATCATGGCGCGCGTCTACGCCGATGTCAACCAGAGCATGCCCCGCAGTTACTGGGACTACGACAGTGTTAACATCAGTATGCCCTCACCCCACGTGAGAATTCCCTTGACAACGAAGCTGATAACCATGTAGGCTGGGGTGCCCTAGAAAACTACGAGGTCGTCAGAAAGATTGGTATGTCGTCGTTGTCCATTTTGTTGCTTGGTTATTGACCCCTTGTGCGTCTGTAGGCCGTGGAAAGTACTCTGAAGTCTTTGAAGGCATCAATGTCGTCAACTACCAGAAATGCGTCGTCAAGGTTCTAAAGCCTGTGAAGAAGAAGAAGATCAAGCGCGAGATTAAGATCCTCCAGAATTTGGCCGGAGGTCCTAATGTTGTTGCCTTGCTCGACGTTGTTCGGGATGCGCAGGTTGGTGCCAAGTTTCTCAACTGACACTGTCAACATGTAACTGACCACAACCGCGAACAGAGTAAGACGCCGTCCCTCATTTTCGAGCACGTCAACAATACCGATTTCCGAAGCCTCTACCCTAAGTTCAATGACATCGATGTCCGGTTCTACATCTTTGAGCTCCTCAAGGCTTTGGACTTCTGCCACAGCAAGGGTATTATGCATCGAGATGTTAAGCCTCATAACGTTATGATCGATCATGAGAACCGAAAGGTTGGTCATTCTGGCATGACACGTCTGACGTAGAGCTTACTGACAGTTTCCAGTTGCGTCTCATCGACTGGGGCCTGGCCGAATTTTATCACCCCGGTACCGAATACAACGTTCGTGTGGCCTCTCGCTATTTCAAGGGTCCAGAACTGTTGGTCGATTTCCAGGAGTATGATTACAGTCTCGACATGTGGAGCCTGGGAGCCATGTTTGCTTCTATGATCTTCCGAAAGGAGCCGTTCTTCCATGGGAACAGTAACTCGGACCAGCTTGTGAAGATTGCAAAGGTTCTTGGTACTGATGATCTGTTTGACTACATTGATAAGTACGAAATTGAACTGGATGCGCAATATGACGACATTCTCGGACGATTCCAGAAGAAGCCCTGGCATAGCTTCGTCACCTCGGAAAATCAGCGATTTGTTTCTAATGAGGCCATCGATTTCCTTGACAAGCTACTGCGATACGACCATCAGGTTTGTTTATAGCTCCGACATCTCCTATTTGATCTAACATTTGTATAGGAGCGTTTGACCGCCAAGGAGGCGCAAGCGCACCCCTACTTCAACCCCGTCCGTGATCCCGAGGTTTTCAAGCAACACCTTGCAGCTGCTAATGGCGCTGCCAACAAGTCTTGAGAGTGCTTGGAGTCGTAGCTCTCCAACACTCATCATCTCTGGCGATCCATCTCGTGGCAACTCTTAACCATGATACCCTGGACCGGCGGTTACTGCTTTCCTTTGTCGGTTTTCCAACCCTGATAGGATACACCCATATTGGGAAGAGAATATCTCAGCCGGATCCGCCTCGATCCTTTCCGCCGTGAAAGCGCGTCGACTCAGTGGCCCTGTGAGATGGATTTCATGAGAATGGGGCTGTATGAGAATATCCTACAGCCTTAGCATGACGTATGATTCGATCGGTTGGTGCGGTGAGGAGAAGCTTGCGCGACATGCCGCATCATCTCGGACGTTGTTACGGGGGCGATGTGGAATGAGACAATGTGGTTTCGGCGTTCCAGGTTCTGGGGGTTATAGCACATTGAGATCGAGGGCTAATCTAATCACCAACACTCCTAACCTTTTTTTAGCTTTGTAGTTGGAGGTTTTCATGCTTTTGGGTCAGTTTTTCTCGAGTAGCGTTAAGCATCAAATAAAACCACAGCGCTATGTTTGCTTGTTGTATGTTGATTCCCACAAGGCTTTATTTTCTATGGTCTTCTCTACTAAAAGTAATCTGTGAGATCAGAACGGCCATTCATATACAAGTGAAGCAAAAGTCTCGGCCACATTGATAACCATCTATACCACAGGTTCGTAACGTGCCCCCCGGTGTCTTAACAGTGTTGGTAGGACTGGACATCTCATGGAAACGCTTTCTACTGGGGGTCCGTTGGATTTCTCTGGTTAGGGCACTCGCTCGCCAAATCCTCTTTGTTGAAGGACGGACGCTTGCTGTCTTTGATGTTGATTTGACTCTGCGCGCTAACTCATCCCGAGACTCGCCGGTGTCTGATTCCGAATCCGACACAAATGAGAGGAGGGATCGGCGTGATGATGGTGCACGAGTAGTACGAATGGAAGCATGACGAGGGGTGTGTGGTTTGTGAGAGCTTGAAGGAGGTTCTGTAAGGAGAGTCCTGGTATCTTTCGGCTTCCGTGGTGTCGATGCCCCATGAACCATGGTATCTCGAGGCAATTCGGGGAGAGATTCGTCATCATGTACAGCTTCGTCTTGAGGAGGCGCATAATCAAAGGAGTTGTCGTTAAGACGAGACCTACTCTCGTCAGGGGGATCGCTATAGTTGGGAGGTTCTTCAACATGGACGGGCGAGGAAGGACTAGCGGTAGATGACTGCTCGTCTCCGATGATTATAAAGGTCTCTGGTGCTTCCATAGGCCCCTCCAGAATTGTATTTGGTTCCTGCAACAGCCCGGATGGCGTCAGAGACACCGGCTGTTCCTCCTGGTCATCTGAAATACCCTCATTGAGTTCTGTTGACTCGTCTGTGCTGTTATTGGACTTTTGGAGCTTTTCCCAGGACCGCCGAAGCTTGATGGTCTCATCTGAAGTTCTAGCTTGTGATCTATAAGACGCTGGGCTCTTGGGTTCGCTCCTAAGATGATGTGTTACTGTACGTTCTTCAGTCTCTGTATCATCATGATCCGATTTTTGTAAGGTTTCTTCACCGCGATCGGGACAACCATGGCTCCTCGTAGCATAGGTCGAGTGATCTTTGGCCCCAACTTCAATATCGGGATTCGCAGGATTCGACTTCTTTGGCGCTCCAGCATCATGCTGTTGAGGCACCATGGGGCCCCTTGTTATGACCTTCGTACTGGAAACAGTATTATTATTTTGAGCCTTGCGTGTTGAGCCTTTGGGTCTTCCCCGCTTGCGCTTGAGAGGCTCTATAGTCTGGCCCTGCATACCCCCAACCGTAGGCTCAACTATGGGTGCTGCTCGTTGGTTGGGTTTTGGTGAACTACTCGCAACATAGACAATGGGCTGAGCGCTTCGAATTCGATCCTGCGTTGGCATGAGTGGCGGTGGAGGTTTTCGGTTTTCTACCTGGCGTTTTGGTGCTCTGATCCTTGAAAGAACAAGAGGAGCTTCGTCGTCTGAAAGCTCCATGCTAGGAACGGTAGGTACATCAGAAGCATAGTGTCTGCCGTTGCCCGTCTTGCGCTCCGGTGCCTCAGGAGCACTGCTGTTGAAAGGAGTCGCGGTGTCCTGTGAATCTGGTACAACCTGCCTTTGGGAGGTCGCCCCCCTTTCGAGTGCTTTTGTTGGCAACGCATTGTCGTGAAGCTCCTCCGAAGACGAGGCACTCTCGTCGCCAATATGATCGACGCTTTCGAAGTCTTTGTGAATAACTGGATCAGCCTTGTATAGCTCCACGCTTAACCTCTGCCCTGATTTCTGCCATTCTTTGGCGTCGTCCCATGAGATCTTGCCCATATACTCAGTTTGTTTCCTCGCTCGGCCAGACCGTCTCCGACCAGAATCGTCTTCTTCGTCGTTCTTCTGAGGCACTTTCACAGCATTTCCATTGGTTTCTTCCAGTGCCCCTTGTGAGTGTCGATGAACCTCGCCTTTCGCAGGTGATGTTTCTTTTGTTGGGAGGACAAGACTCGCCTCAGGGGTCGACGCTACCTCAGTAGTCTCAGAGAACATCAAATCATCGTCGTCGTCAGTATCATTTATGGTTCTATCAGGGGCCAGATCTTCCTGATTATCGCGTGGCTGTTCCTCAGACATGGATTTGTGATGGTCATCTGCAAGTGCCTCCTCTTCCGTACGAGAGCTGCTAGGGTGTCTGCTCGTCGCCTGCTTGGAAGATGCTTTCATAGAGCCGGCCCGCTTTGTCCTCTTGGCCCGGTTACGACTCCAAATCGATGTCTGTCCGCTATGAGTAGGGAAGTCGTATCTGCCTCCGCTAAACCAAGGTCCTGGCATACTCGGCGGCATGTTAAAATATGGAGGAATATCGTCCCGACCCCAGGCTTGCATGGGAAACCCGTGCATTCTTCCCCAGGGCCCAAATCCTGGAGTTGGTCCGAATCCAACTGACGAACCTGGTCCATAGGATGGAGGACCAAAGTGAGATTCGCTGGCATGCAACATGGCGTCAGAAATTTGTGAGGGATCCATGGCCGTATCCATATCAGTTTGTAGTGCTTCCCAGACGACTTCGCTGTGAGTCCTTTGGCTCGTTGGCGCGCCTTTTTCTGCAAACGTTGGTTCTTGGTTGTTCTGATTGTCGCTCTGAGAATGCTGTACTCCTTTGACTGGTTCTTCGCTATCGGAATATCCATCCGTAAGGTCCTCCAGCAGAACTCCTTCATCTTCGTCGATATTACTGTCGCCCTCCATCCATAGTCCTTCAACATCTCCCTCATCACGCATATTACGCAAATGACCGTTGTTAACGACAATTTCTCCAGTGTTCATGTCGATTTCGTCGCCAATGCCCTCAAAGTCCCGGCTGTATTTTTCGATAATATGAGCCATTGTGGCTTGCAGTTTATGGTCAGCATTCGCCCGCTTGAGTGCAAGCTGAATATCAGGGTCTCGGCGCATCCTGATCTCTTGGGGATGTGAGGCAAGTTCGTCATCGTCACTTTCATCTTGAACCTCTTTTTGAGCTGAAGCGCCCCGTCGCCTTTTCTTTGTCGGTGGCTCCATTGTCACTATGATCGAAATGACAAGCCCCGAGGAATCTTTGTCGACATTAAATCATGCATAATTTTGCGACATATTCTTTAACAGGATGCATGGTAGCCTTCCATTTTATGGCTCCTGCATTCTTTGATGACGATGTTTCGTTGGAGGAGCAACTGAAGGGTCAAGACGCGCCGTGACGCGCCATCAGGGGCCGTGCATCGCGTAAAGTGCTTGGCTCCATATGGATCTTATCGATCAATTTGGTGGGGTTAACTACATGCTTAATGCAAACCATCCATCCATTATCATGTGGACGCTATCAACCTTTGATAGCTTCATGTGACCTTGTGAAAGAATATGAAAGCCAGGCTTAGTTGTGATAGATCTTTCTTTGTAATTAGTTTCTTTTCTTTACTTGTTGTGTAATGAAGTATATAGCTTATTCTAAATTTCTCCATATGATTCTGTACCCTGTGATCAACTGCGCACTGGCTCGTGGCTCCCAGTGCTAAACATAACCCGACGTCACCGCTAAGACATCCACATCTCACTCTGTCCATTTCTTTACTTTCCCTACCTTTCCCACCAACGACACGGGACTCTTTCTTAAAAGCTCTGTACAGCGCATTCATCCAGCAACCGTTCTCGAACAATGCCTGCTCGCTAACCCAAGTATGAACTGCCAGATATGCCGCCAGCCTCTCAGGCTGGACGGATCCCTCGAGGACCTCAATCCAGCCGCCTACGATGTGCTTGTTTGTATGTGGCCTGATCCTTTTTCTGCGCATGTATCTGACCTCGCTCGCCAGCATCTACATCTCCCCAAACCCTCAAGAAATCATCTGTGACGAGCCCACCGATTACGCAACCACAAGAGCAAGCGCGCAAGTCTCTATACGAAACAGTCTCCAGAAATACCGGGCCACCGACGTTCAAGCGCAACCATGGAGGGCATCCCCGCGATTTCTCTATGTCTTTCGTTTTATTGTCAGAGTCCCAGATGACTCAACCGAGTCAGCCTCCAGAATCTCACGCTATGCCAACAGCATTGCGCCGTGCCAGCTCTGCCAGAAGTAATGGGGATAATGTTGACGCGCCTGTGGGAAACGAGATGGATAGGGTCAACCGACTTTTCGAAATTCTATCTGCGCGATCCGATATCGACCACCCTATCTGTGTTGAATGTACGGAAATGCTTGTCGAGGGCCTACAGAAGAAGCTAGAGGTTGCTTCACGCGAAAGAGACGCCTATGTTAAACATCTTAAGGAGGCGAAAGCAAACAAACCAAGCGAAGAAGACATGAAAGCTCAAGAGGAAGCGCTGAGAAAAGCTGAGCAGGATAGAGCAACAGCTATGGAAGAGCTGAAGAAGCTGGAGTCGGAAAAGACTTCCTTAGATGAGGAGCTCGTAGCTCTTGAGGAGGAGTCGCGACAACTGGACAAAGAGGAGGAGAAGTTCTGGAGGGAACGAAACGAGTTTGCTACAAAGATGGGTGAATTCCAGGCGGAAAAGGACAGCATCAACGCCAAGTACAGCAACGATTCCCAGCTCCTAGAAAAGCTGCAGCGATCTAACGTATATAACGACACCTTTTGTATCAGCCACGATGGGAGCTTTGCGACAATTAACGGTCTTCGGCTTGGTCGTCTCTCTAACAAACCGGTAGATTGGCCAGAAATCAACGCCGCGTGGGGACACGCACTGCTACTCTTGGTTACCGTTGCGGACAAACTTTCCTACAGATTCGATGGATATGACCCGCAGCCTATGGGAAGCACGTCAAGAATCATCCGATACGAAGTACCAAGCCCTTCTTCCAGTCGACTAGGCAGTCGCGCTGTCAATGCCCCCCCAAAGAAGCATGTACTTGAGTTGTACAGCTCTGGAGATATGCCTCTAGGATTAACATTCATGCACCGACGCTTTGATAACGCCATGGTTGGGTTCCTGGAGCTTGTACGACAGCTGGGCGCGTATGTCCATAGGCAAACAGATGCAACTGGCACACCTCTTAGCTTGCCATATAAGATTGACGGTGACAAGATTGGCGATGTCAGCATCAAACTCGGCATTGCGCAAGATGATGGATGGACGAAGGCGTGCAAGCTGACATTGACGTGTTGTAAGTTTCTGCTCGCGCACGCCAGCAACGTCACTTCCAACGCAAGAAATGGTGGGAACTGAATAACTCCGCCGCTAGTCGACTGAAAGAACTTGGGGTTCTCTGATTTAGGTTCTCTTGTGTCTCCCTTAGGTACTAAAAGTGGTGGAGTTTAGGACAAGCTGGATGGCGTTATAGGGTGGAAATTGAGCATAGAGGCTGCGTCCCTTCTGTCGTATAGAATTATTTGGCATCATAAATGGCAATGAGGTGACAGTCCTTTTTGCCTGTCTGCCTGTCTGCCTCATTTCCAAAAAAGCGCAAAAATTGCAATTGTGTGTTCCAGCCCGTATCATACGAGAGTGGTGCCTTCTCGTCACCCATTGCTGGCACGTCTGCTTTCTGTATAGAGGTTCACTTTTCGCTTTGTAGGTACCTAGGAAGGCCGACGCCTTCTGATTGTGCTTGTCCAGTACTTAGCAACAGACCAAGCTAAACCAGGAGCTTGAGCAGTCACTTATTCTTCGTGATTCATGGTCTCGCTGCACTTCTCCTTTTAAACCCTCACATCCACAACAACTCCCAACTTCTTCAACCTGAAGTATCCTCTATCGAGCACTCAAAATGGGCAAATGCGCTCATTGTGGCAAGGATTCAACCGTGGGGTGCTCCCATTGTATGGGACCTCCAGAATACCAAGACGGAGATGCTGTCACTACCTTCTGATGCAGCCCTGAATGCCAGGCAGCTCACGAGCCAACTCATCAAGAGTATTGCTACAACATGCAACGACGGAAAACTCTTTTACGTACAGCCAAGCTACTCAAAGCAGCACTTTTGGCGTACAAGGAGGTTGTGTATGACATTCATGTGACAAAAATCGAACATGACGAAGACTCCGGAACTCTGGTCCTCATGCACACCCCGAACCGAATTGAGCGCCATCTTTTCCCGAGTCACCTCACCCGTATTGAAAATCACAAAGAAGCTGCTCTTCTAGTAAACCAGTGTACTATGTCGATTTCTCTCCTTGGTCCGATGACCAGGGGTCTCTTGGTCGGTAGGTCAAGCCGTCTATTCTGATCCAGGGTCATCCTGCTAACAGACATCGATTAGGAATTGTCTCTCGAATGGATGTCGCCATTGTTGAGATCCGGAATCCCCCCCTCCCTATCAGATTTCACCCCCCTGGTGGCATCATGACCGACAGGGTGTTCCATACCATTGTCGAAGCGACGTTGGACTCATCAGGGGAACGATGGTTGATCGACATCACAGGCTGTCAGTATGGCTTCCGGGATATTCTGCTTCCCCTCTAGAAATACATTACACAGAACAACTGCTCCTCGTATGAGCTGCTACAGCCTTACGGTCACACTGAAACCACCGACCAGGACGAGCTTCCATGTTCGCCGTTCTTCATACTCACAGGAGGGCCCAATGAACAACAGTTGGCAGACATTGAAATTGAGAAAGGTTATCGTCGACACTTCGCCACTCTAGTTCGCGCATTATTTCATCAAGGATTGACTCAGGGGTCTGACGCTCACTTTGCAGCCATTCTCGATGATTTGGCCCACAGAGGGATCACACACATGTCAAGTTATCAACCTCATCTGGGGGCATATCAGGAGAGGACTACGCACTGAGAGCTCTCTGCTGGCTTGCTTGCTTGGGTTCAGATGGGTTGGCGGGAACACACTGGACTAGTTCCGATGGTTGGCTGCATAAGGTAGCCAAAGGCTTACTACGGGGCATTTTGGAAGGCAGTGCAACCTTGTGGATGGTAGCCTACTTCTGTAGGTAACCGAGAATTGAAAGTTGATTTCCTTTCTCAACCAGTCGAAAACGATTTGCTTATTTCAGAAATATTTTCAGTATCAACTGGGACAGCGACCTCAAGGCAAGGTGCTGAAAATACCTAACATCGTCTAAGGTCTATTGGCCCCTAGACTGAATAAACTGTTTGGTGGAGTAATGATCTGGGAGCTTACCCAACTTCATACTATAAATCCCCCGCACATCAAAAGACAGATCCACTTTTGACCTTCAGCAATGCCACTTAAGGCTGCATAGGGCTGTGCTGCAGCTGGCATGCCCAATATCTCCACATCACTCCATATGCTACACCCAGGGAGCAAGAAAACTTCAGACATTGAAAGAGGATGCCAAAATGAGCTTGTCAGAGAGTCCCCTAAGCTTAGGCAATTTTAGGCAAACTTGCCTAAATCTTTCTGTCATCTAGGATTGAGGTCCTAGGGTTTCTTGCCTCCCTATAGGCTACTCCAGAACTGCGTTACACTTGCTCAAGGCAAACAACCTGGGGCTTGAAACTAGGCGTTGCTGCCTTGACTGGTACCATAGCTAATAATAGGGGAACCCCTTGATTGGGTAGACTTTTTCTCAATACCATGATAGGCCAGTCTCAGCTTACACAGCTTTGTCAATTGCTCTATAAAGCAGACAGAATGCTCACAGTTTCTCCTCTGGTCGGCTCAGACCCTCAGACCCTCTTGACATAACTGTCTTTTGACTTTAGTGTCTTTTGTATTTCCCTATAAGTTTGTTTGTTCTTCAGAAGCATCATGGATACTCCTCAGCCTCATGAAGTCAACGTCGTCGATGGCGATGACTCCAGCTCCATTGTGAGCTTCGAGGATATCCCCCCCAGGTCCAGGCCAAGATATAGACATAGTCCGCACATGGCCTCTATGCCCAGGGTGTGCCCAAAAACAGAAATTCTTAAGATTGATGGCAAAGTGCCAGACGTCCTTCATGTGGTCAAGTATCTCGGTTGGCAAAATAATGTCATAGAATGTCAGTCTTCAGCCATGTATCCTCTATGGTGATGTCGAGCTAACCGTATAGTAGGCCGCCAGAGCCCTGTAGCTTTCAAGAATGTTCCCCCGTATGGATTCAATGGCGATATCAACCTTGTTGTCGATGACGATGCAACTGGAGATGAGAAACCCGTTATCGAGATCATAACGAAGGTCTTACCCCGGAGCCGATCCCCCATCCCTATCCACCGTCGATCTCGAGGTCCTCGAGACCAGGAAGACAGGCCGATTACCGAAGCATTCGAGAACATTGATTATCGCTACGACAATCTCTACCCAGATGAAGGTCAAGATCCCGAAGTTCCTGGTCCAGAAATTTCACGTCCCTTCATGATCATTCATTCAGATCACCTTATCAATGCCCTTAAGGCCGTAGTAGCCTACTATCCTTACGTCAGCTTTGACGGCAAGCCTGTCAAGATCAATGCCCCTTACCGGGTCCTCTACCATCATCGACAGGAGCTCGCCCGTTACAAGGATCACCAACCATTGGCCCATGATTCTGATTACGCCGCGACTACATCTAAGCATATCGACGTTCTCCTCAAATTCCTTGACGATAACCTCGGCGATGAGATCCGTCGTGAAGAGGAGCGTCATCAACTTGCTACCCCTAGAGCTACCTTTGATCTCTTTTGGCTTCTGCTCAAGCCAGGTGAAGTCTTCTACGCAAAGCGCTATGATATCTGGACCCCATATGTCATTAGCAGTGTCACCATGGGGCAGGGACACAGCAGCTCCTGTGATGTGTACAACATTAATTGCTGGATGCTCGAGTCAAACGGTACAAAAGTCAATCGCTTCATGTTCAGCTACAACCTCTCTCCCTGGCTTGGTGAGCAAGCCATCGGGAGCCTTTCCATCATTCCTGCAGCTTTTTGGCCTGAAGATCTCGAAGCCCAAGGCGGAATTACAATGAGGGAAAAGAACATTGCCCTAGGCAAGCTCTATTGGGAGCTTTTGAAGCGACCAACTTACATGGAATACGAGGGGCTTCTTGTGAATTCTGGGCCGAGCAACAGACAATGCCGTGGGCCAACCGGCTTCATGTGCGGCCGTGTTATATGTGATGCCCCTGGATTTGATACATTCTATAATCAAGGGCCCGATAACATGCGCGCGGGTCGCTACCACCGCATCCCAGTTTACAATGAAACCGCGCCTCCTTCCAAGGACCATCTTCCCAAGGATCTCCCGCGATGTGGCTGCGATGCCTGTATGGCAAGCCGCCCAAACTATAGTACCGAAAGCCCGTATCATGGATTCGAAGACCTTGATCCTACCCAAGACTCTCCCCCAGATAGCGACCTCTTCTATCTTGTGTGCAGCAAGACTATGCCAGGATTCCTCCTTGGCGACCGACGATGGGGTCACTTAAGCATCGCCAACCTGAAGCAGCTGAAGACGGACAAGGAAGCTTTCAAGTATCTTGTTCTTGACGATGAGATCAAGATGACTGTTAAGGCCTTGATTGGAAAGTTTGCTGCTGACTTGGGAGACGGGAAGCTGTCCCCTTGGGGTAATGACTTTGTTAAGAACAAAGGAGAAGGCCGAATCTTCCTGCTCCATGGTGCACCTGGCGTTGGAAAGACATGCACCGCTGAATGCGTCGCCGAGCTTACCAATCGGCCTCTTATTTCACTTACTAGTGGTGATCTCAGTGTTGACTCGTTCAATGTTGAGGCCAACTTGAGCTACTTCCTTGAGCTTGGCCAACGCTACGGTGCTCTTGTCCTCCTTGATGAAGCGGATATCTACCTCGAGCGCCGTCGCTCTAAGGATATTACCCGGAACGGGCTTGTATCTGTGTTTCTTCGGGCCCTCGAGTACTATCGTGGAGTTCTCTTCCTGACCACCAATCGTGTTCAGTCATTTGATACTGCATTCCTCAGCCGTATTCACGTCGCACTGCATTACAAGAGTCTTACTCACGAGGACTGTGAGCGCATCTGGACTCATAACTTTGATCGCTTGAGCCGAGATTCAAACGGTTTGATCCATGTCTCTGGTGCGGCTCGCGAGTTTGTGTGGAATAGCCAAGATGTTCGTAGTCTCAAGTGGAATGGGCGAGAGATTCGCAACGCCATGCAAACAGCCCTCGCTCTGGCCGAGAATGAGGCTCAAGAGGAGAATTCCGAGCGGGTTACAATCAGTGAGAAGCATCTCAGGGCTGTTGTGAAGATGAGCCGTGGATTCCGCGACTACATCAAAACTGCAGTTCCCCTTGAGGGATTTGAGAAGACTCTCAACGATTCCGACGAGGAGTGAGACAAAGAGACTCAAATTATCTCTTTTTATGTGTGTAATTGTGATTTTATTGCTTTCATCGAACGATATATGTAGTGAAGGCAATCTATCAGGCAGGCTCAGCGTCGATTCAGGAGTCTCTTTATTAGTACCTTAGTCAGTAACGATTTATGAACCCCAGATTGAATACAAACGAACTTCATGATTTACATAAAGTTTTGTGACGATAGCAAGATGCAACCGGCGAAATACAAACAAGTGCGAATGATCCTACAGGGTCTTCCATCACCTCTACCAGAGTATACTAAACCTAGTGATCTATTATCTGAAAAACTGAAGTTTACAACAAGCTATGTATATTAGGAGATCATTCAATTATTACTTATAAACTAAGTTGATGCATTATTGTTCATACTTGGTGATACATATGTCTCAAAATTTCGGCCATCTGCCCAACGTCAACAGCATCCACTGCCCAACGCTCCAGTGTGTGTATTGCAAGTTCAATGAGCATCTGCCACTCATCAGGAGGATGAATTCGGTGCGGATTAGAGGCAGCAGCAAGAACGATACAGGCGCTTAGGAAGATCTTACGAGATATTAGCCATGTACCGCCATGACGCCCTTGGAAAGCGAGACGATGGATCATTTTGGCGCAGATATCGAGTTCTTTGAGCGCAAGGATATGCGCCTGAGGAAAGACAGGATCATCTTGAGGACAGTGCAGCAGGTAATAAAAGATAGGGCGAAGCGTATACTCTTGCCAAAGGGATGCCCTGCCTTGAAGAGCAGATGCAAATTCCTCTTCTGGAAGTTTATCGTTTTCAAACTGAACTGCAGCAGGAAGATGGTAATGCCTGAAACTCGGTGCGTCAGCTTTGTAGGCCACGTTAAGTCAAGTAGAAACTTACCACTGCGATATCTGTTGCTCAGATTCATGGTACTGACGAATCAAGTATGTTGGGTGCTTCATCCAATACTCTTCCCCATTTCTGTACAAAAGGTTCAAGGTCTCGTCTACCGTACGCCGGATGGAAATTTCGGACAGGTAGTAGTACCACCCTCGCTCGTCAACATAGCGTTGCTCTTCATCCTGATCGATATGCGAGCCTTCACTTCTTGGAGTCTGTCCAGTTCCAGCTAATAGGCCTTCCGGGGGTGTTGGAAGCGGCTCTGGGTATGAGAAACTCTCGAGGGCACTTGGTCGCAATCCTAGTTCAAAGACAAGCTCACTGCAAACGAATCAACACTCAACTACCAAATATATCGGTGGTTATTACTGACCTTTCTGCTCGAAAGCAGGTCCAGAAGAGTCTCTGCTCTAAATGATAGTCTGCTGGGTTGTTTTGCCGAAAAGGTACTCGAGGTCTTTCACCACGCTGGCGCAGATGAATCTCCAGACGGGAACAGGCTTGTTGAACGTAGTACCAGGCCCTCAACGGGCGAAAGGCAAATTTCTCGAATATGGTCGCCAAGACAAAGCACTGAATATCTTCAATAGTATTCCCAAGAAGACCCATCCTCTTTTGCGCTGCTGCATAGTATGGTTCAGCCCTGGGACCCTGGTCGGGGTCGTCTCTTTGTCGAAGCTGCTCCCGAGTTGGCGGGACAAGATACTCATTTGGCTTTATCCAAAAGCCAGTATATTCAGCCAGAGCACATGACAAAAGCTATAATTGTTAGGTTGATAGGATATGAAGAAAAGTGGCGGGCTTACAACGAGGCAGGATGAAGTGTCCCATTTCAGACCATTTTCTTCTGTAGTACGAGCATGCCTTATGAGTTGCTGTCCGTCCAGAACCGGATTTCGGGGATGCACATGTGCAAGAAACTTTCGGCACAGGGTGACAAATGAGGATTCATCGATACCCTTCCCAGTACTGTTTGGTTTCTGTACACTGCTTTCTTTGTACCCCGGACTTAGTGGGAACGAGTCAACGTCACGGGCATCGCTCGGGATAATGTTGCAGAGTGCCGGCCATTGAAGCAGGGATTCACAACGTAGAGCAGCAAAGGGAAGTCGTTCAGATTCGTACGGTTGCACTTGTGATGCCTTTTGTGTTTCGTATTGTGCACCAGCAGAGAACCTTGTCCATGGACTGCCAGCTGCAGGTGTCTGGGGGGCTTCGGTATTAGTGAGTATAGGCTCAATGTCTGAGAAAGGTTGAGGTGAGTCGTTGGTCTTCTGGAGTATCTCCTTTATTTCATCCAGGCGGTCCAGTATTTGACGATTGGAAACTGCATCTTCCACCCCCTCATCTCCCGTCTCACTGTCTGCGTCTAAATAGATGCACTTGGCTCTATGCCGCACGCAAAAGCCACATGTTGGACGAACATTATCGCACTTTGTCTTACGGACACGGCAGAATTGACAGGCTGTCACAGCGCGTTTCCTGCGAGTAAAGTCGGTGGTGGTCAGTCGCCGCTGTCGTTTTCCCGATCCTTGGGATTGGGCATCGTCGTGATCTTGACCGTCTTGGGTGGTGGGTTCCTCGGGCGAGTTGCAGGAGAAGCCCGGCGATGTTGCAGATGTGGTCGGTAACACGGTTGTTGTACTGTCTCTTATGATGGGCGCACGAAGGTCGAATGAATATGACATTGGGATCCGAGAGTTTGTGCCGGTCATGATGGACGTCCATTCATACAAGAATTACTGGCTCTTGACATCCATCCATTTATTCATTCATTGACGGCGGAGGCGGGGAAGAACGGACGGAAGCCCGAGGTTGGAGAAGCCGAAGCGGGCAAAGGTCATCCAGAAGTTGGGTCCTCCGAAGGCGCCAATTTCTGTTTTGAAACCATTTTTGGGGTATCATGGAAGACCATAATTGCCCGCGGTACAAGCTGGAAGGCGTCATCGCCTTTTGCCATTGCGGCATCACCTCATGTGGATGTGATAAAGAGTGGAGTTTTGGTGTTCCACTACGAGTTTGAGCTTTTGAGTACATCGATCTCGGTTTTATCCAGAATACATGTGTTTGAAATATGTGACGTGTGTTCGAAGTGAGAGAAACCTTTAGGTTGCTGAATTGCGGTGATGTAAACATAAGTAAGAGGAGCCAATATCATCAATATGCATAGACCTGCCCGTGGTGTTCCCTCCAAGTTGACATCTCTCCGTACTCTCTTACCTCGGGTTGGATAGACTTATGAAAATTGTCCAAGAATGAAAGATAGAAATGGGATTTGGATACAACGGCTGTGAAATCTGAATAAAGTGTGCATTCATCTGGTAGATAATAGATGAAGCCTTTCACCGTCCCTTCAACATACCCCACTGTCGATCGGAAAAGGACTGTTAGATACACGATACCCAGTCGAGCCATTGCAGAAGTAACTACTACTATAAGCAGGTAACCTTGTATAAACGGTTCGTGTGAAGTTTAGTGGTCGCCTAGCTGATCCCTGCAGTTCGTAGCCAAACAATATGTACTGATCAGAAGTTATCTCAAACTACCGCAATTATCAAGGGCATAATCCTGGCATGGCGATGGATAATGCCGTACTTTCTGTATATTTGATTCGGACGCCTCACTCCAAAGTTTTGTTAAATGTTCGATAGTGTCAGACTCCAGATATTTTCTTACTACGTTGACTATATGTCCTAGACCTCGTATGGGTGCTTTCTACACCCTGTGCCAACCAATAATGCATGTCTCAGGGAACCATCTAAGCTTAGCTTGATGAGTCACGTCGCCGAGAACTCTGAATGGGTGTTGATATAGTTCAACAAGGGTCACAGCAGATGCCGTCAAGTTGGTCATGAATTTTGGGCAATGGTCATTCTTCTATACAGCATCAGAGTTCAGCAAACAGTCTCAACAAAGAATATCCACTGAAGCTGTTAATATCTGACCTTGCCCGCTCTGAGATCGCATCTGTTAATTGGCTTTCTTGGTAGATAAAAAAAAAAAAACTTCGTTTATACAATATACAATGTTTAATTCAATTGTATTTCTGCTTGTTTAAGGCAATCCAATGGGCTGGATAAGACGGGATAGTATTGCCCGCTCGTTGAAGGTCCTTCCATAAACGGTTCGCCGGGCCCACCTTCCAGATGTCCACTGAATTTAGCGATCTCCGCACGGGCCAAACGTCCCGGGAACGGCATTCCCAACCCGCTGGGTGGAATTTTTGACTCTCCGTATTACACCACGCTCTGGATAAATTCTTTAGTCGCCAACTACGATGCGAAGATAGACTTTTCAACCAAAATTTCCAAGGCAGCTGCTTATAGGACATCATACTGCTGGAATCTAAGTTAAGACCCCAAGGCATCAATTCTACTGCCTATCTCCGGATACAACCACGCCAGATCCTTCTCATCAAAACTGTCGTTCAAGATGGTTGCTGATCGTGGTGGACCTTGTTAGTCTCCGCCAACCACATGAATGGTTTGTGGTGTTGATTGGCGGGCTCGAAAAGACCCTGCATTGTCACCTCTAGTGGCTGACGAGCGGTGACTGAACGATGCCGGCCTCATTTTGCTTAACACAAGAGACACAAAGAGGAGGCTTGTCAAAGGATCTTGCCCGAGAGCCCCGGTGCCGGGTGATATGGAGTATCCTGTACTAGGAAGTACACTTGATAGCCGGATCCCGTTGATACCACACTATGGCATTCACGTTCTGCACATCATACCTTGCATTAGAAACGAACTATACTCTTTATGGATCGTTGATGCCTCGCCGTGAAGAGTCATGGGCAACCTGATATCAAAGGAACTTTTTCAAATCTGCTAGGTTCCCAACAATGGACCTTTGTAAGATATCTCGCAATCAGACCCTTGCCCCTCTACCAACCCCCCAGACTATTTTCCCTCAACCCTGTTCGAGCGGTTCCTTGAAGCACTAAGACTAAACTCGGTCCAAAACCGCACTTCTTGATTATCTAACCGGACCTTTCTGACGTCTTGTTTCGTTGATTCAACCCACTCACCACGGAGTTGAAGGGTCCCCGTCTTTTTTTACAAATCCTTGAAGCGGCATCAGCCAGCTTACATGCGTAAGGCGTGACTGATTTCGAATCTTTCTTAAAACCTGTGCTGAATCCTTGTCTATCTTTCCCTTCTTTTCCCTCATCATTTCGGAGCACGTCAAATGTATAGACTGTTTCTAGCCTGGCCCTTTTAAGAATTTACAACTCGACTGAGTATAACCACCACGACAACGATAACAGAGGGTGACGACAAAGATTATATTCTGGCGTTTTTCGCCATTGTGTCCCACGACTCTTCCTCAGCAAATCTACTCAGAAAGCCTCAATCATGGGTGTGCCCAATAACATCGATGTGATTTTGACTGGCACAGGCCTTGTTGTTGTAGCATTGGCCACTACGCCTGCTCTAGCCACAGCTGTCACCCAACTACGGAAGCGCACTGCACGGGACAACTTCTATGAGGATGCTGATGGCAAGAGTACGCCTGAAAGCTTGGCCGCCTTTTCAAACCGTCTTCCCAAAGTTTTCATCCTTGCCTTGTCCGCCGTCGGTCTTGGAACATCGATTGCAATTTCAGTACTTCAATCGCTTTCGCAGTCAGATTCGCTTTTGCTTAAGAATTGGCTCATTGCTGGGGCATGGGTGAGTACTTAAAATGGAATGGCAATTTGCAATGGTCACTGACGTTCTTCTCCGAATAGGCTCTTATTCTTCTACATGCCATCTCCTTGAGTGCCCATCATGCGCCTGTAAAGGTCCACGATCTTGGCCTGTGGCTTTTTGGGTCTTCTCTTATTGTTGCCACCATTACTGTGCCCCAATTGATTAAGGAGACTCAGGTTTTTACTCGAGACAACACAGTTGCTCTTGTTCTTCGCGCCGTGAATGTTGGTGCAGTCGTCTTTCTCTGCCTCTTCAGTGTGCTACTTCCACGCCGACCTGATGTCTTCTTCAAAGGTCAAAAAGTCGATGATCAATGGACTGTTTCTGCTTTCAGCCGCTACACGTGGTCCTGGGTAGATCCCCTCCTTTCTTTTGCAGTCAAAAAGAATGATCTGGATGCCAGCGATGTTCCTCATGTAGACCGGACGCTGAGAGCTGCTGATTTGAAAGAGGACTGGCTCGCATCTAAACCTCAAGGTAGCCTCTTCCGCTCCCTGTTTTGGGCATACAAGGGTTCCTTTATGGTACAGCTCTCCCTTACTGTATTCCGGAACATCCTAGCCTTGTTACCTTTCTGGACCATGTTACGTGTGATCAACATTCTCGAACAGCGCGATGTAGGACTGTCCGGAGCATCCAACTTGGAGCTCTGGATTTTGATTTTTGCGATGGCTGGCTTTAATCTCTTAGATGCTGTAAGTACTTCATATAAACTTTTTTGCCGTATACTGATATGTCAAAGTGGGTTGAAGGATGGGTATTCTGGTACTCGTTTGCGAGCATTGCTCTCCCTATCCGGTCGCAATTGTCAACACTGATCTTCGAAAAGTCGCTTCGACGCAAGAACGTCAAGTCTGCGGATAAGTCGAAAGAGTCAGATGAACCACAGGACCAAGCAGAAGACAAGAAAAATGAAGAAGATGCCGATGACGGCTCAAGTGTATTGAAGTCTCGACAGGCAATCGTCAACCTTGTTGGTGTCGATGCGTTGCGAATCTCGAACTTCACGGGTTTCCAGTTCCTGATTATCAACAGTGTCTTCAAACTGCTCTTTTTCTCATTCTTTTTGGTTCGCTTGATTGGATGGATTCCTTTCACAGCTGGTCTGGTAGCCTGGGGTCTTACTCTTCCCGCCAACACCTACTTCTCTCGAGAATTGCTATCCAGATCGGATAAGTTGATGAAGCTCCGCGATGAAAAGTTAGCTGTGGTCAACGAAGCTCTTCTTGGAATGAGGCAGATCAAGTTCGCTGCCCTAGAGAGTCGCTGGGAAAAGCGCATCTTGGCTATGCGAGAGAGGGAACTAAAGACCTTATGGGGACTTTTTGTTGTCGATACCGGTCTTTTTGGATGCTGGGTCGTCAGCCCCATTCTGCTTGCTGCGACATCCCTTGCTGTCTATGCAGTTATGAACGGTCAACTGTTGCCCTCTGTTGCTTTCGTTAGCATTGGAATTTTCAAAGCTTTGGAAGTCTCGCTCGGTGTGCTACCAGAACTCATTACGATGGGAGTTGACACGTTTGTCTCCTTGAAGCGAATCCAAACGTATCTCAATGGTCCCGAGATGAAGAACACGCTTTCCGAAGGCACAGATGTGGCCTTCGAAGATGCATCTATTGCCTGGCCCGAAGATGACGAAACACCCGACGAGGATAGGTTCATCCTGAGGAGTCTGAACATAAGATTCCCCGCTGGCGAACTTTCAGTGATTTCTGGAAAGACCGGTACAGGAAAGAGTTTACTTCTTTCTGCCATTCTTGGTGAAACTGATGTATTGGAGGGCTCTGTTTATGTGCCTAACACCATCGCCCCGGAAGAGCGTCACGATGCCCAAGCAAACCTCGGCGACTGGATTATTCCCGGATCTATTGCTTATGTTGGCCAAACTCCTTGGCTCGAGAGCGCATCTCTGCGTGATAACATCTTATTTGGACTCCCTTTTGTCGAGGAACGCTACAACCAGGTCGTTGATGTGTGCGCTCTTAAGAAGGATCTGCAGATCCTGACAGACGGCGACAAGACGGAGCTCGGTGCAAACGGCATCAATCTGTCTGGCGGTCAGAAATGGCGGGTCACTTTGGCTCGGGCCATTTACTCACGAGCCGATATCTTAGTAATGGACGACGTCTTTAGTGCTGTCGATGCACATGTAGGCCGCCATATCTTTGAGAAGTGTGTCACGGGCGATATTTGCAAGGGACGTACTCGAATCCTCGTCACTCACCACGTTGCTTTAGTGCAGTCGAAAGCCAAGTATATAGTTGAGCTTGGTGAG